TTGTTGGGCATTCCATGGCCGAAAATGAGCATCCCCCTATATAATAACTCCCTTCCGTGCGTGTAGCATCAGCTGATCTGCAGTTGATGATGTGAGTTTCACCTTTATTCCTCCTGTAATCAACATAAATATGCGCAATACGGAAATAATTGGCTTGGAAATGCCACGACGGTTTTTTATTGTTTACAATAATAATTATTAAATATTTTTAAGAATTAGCACACGGGCAAATTAAATTAGCGCAAGGGCAATTTTTTCACGTTTGGTAGAGTAAAAAATAATCATTTTTCAAAGAGATATGGCTATTTTAAGTAAAGGAAAATTGAAAATTATATTTCTATTTTTCCTGGTAAAGCGAAAAACGAGCTTATAAATTAATTAACGTAGGTCGAAAGGGCTAATTGAGATCTATAAAATGAGATTTTTTTATTTTGAAATTTGAATATCTGCAGGCTGGAACGTGCCCGGTTTGTTGTGGATTGCGCTCCGGGGAAATATGGTCGCGCGTCGCGGATATTAATGGTAGCTCGAATGATGATCTACTGGATGCGTCATCTGTTTTATCTTTTCATTTACGCTTTTAACATGTCCGTAGATAACCGCCAAGCAAAAATGAAGGCAGAATGCCAATGATATATTATTTAAAAAAGAAAAACGCCTGGTTCAGCCACTGAAATAGCATGTGATTATTAGGCCGTTTTCTCACTACGCCAAACAAACACGACATCAACACAACATTAAAAGTTGTGTTGATGTCTTGTTGTCCATCCCTTTTTCACTAGCACGACTCCAACACAACACGACTGTCACATTTTGTAAAGTTCATTTGTCGAGTACGCATGCAATAATGTGTCCTGCCTTCAATCAACGACAACTGCTAGCTATTTCACTATACTTAAGAAGAAGAAGGCGGAGAAAGAATTGTTGAATTCACCCTTTACTACGTGAGAAATATGTTGATGGAGCATTTTACGTGCTCTTTGATAAGCTACGGGAGCACGAAAATAAATTTTTCAACTACTTTCGCATGTCTATAGCAACATTTGATTATATACTTCACCATATAAATGATGCCATATTAAGTCAAGACACAAAAATGAGAAAATGCATACCGCCGAAAGAAATGCTTGCTGTTACAATAAGGTAAAACTGTTTTACTAAGATACTTTATTTATCAAAATTGTGGTTTAACAGTGCTTGTATAGATGATGTAGCCACCTGTGTTTCGTCACTTGTAGTAGTTGTACAAAACATACAGATCGCCGGGAATACGCGGGGAAATCGTACTGCTAATGATATAAGAAATCAATACGCAGATTACTTTGTAAGCGAGGTAGGTTCGTTGCCCTGGCAAATGGATAAAATATAAGCAGTGGTGGATCCAGGATTCGCTTTGAGAAGCGTGTATTCGGTTGGGGGGAGGGCTATACCTGCTTTTTTACCAATTAATTTTCAGTCATAATATACTCTTATTTGATATCATAGAAAATCATAGAAAAAAACCGCTGGCTCCGGACGGTATCTAATTAGATACCAAATACTGCCCTATGAAAAAATATTTTTATGTTTTAAACAAAACCAAAGACAATATGCAATGAATAATAAAGTCAAAGACAAAAATATGCTCTTTTATTTTAAACCTACCTGGCAATGTTTCTTAGAAAAATTCTTGGAAGAAACAAAAGAAGTATTTTAAAGCGTTCTGTTATAAGAATATTATTTAGAATTATTTAGATAATAAAACTACTGAATTAAAATGGTCGGACGCAAGGCTCTAGTTTCACGTGAAAAAATATTAGAAAAACTTTTAGATTTTGATATTTTTGAAGGAGACAAAACATTAAAAACTAGAACGAACAATGTGTGGCAAGAAGTGTGTAACTCTTTGGACAATTTAATAAGTGTTGTAAATTTATTCAATCATGTCAAACAAGATAGGCATAATACCCTCACTTATTATAAAAGACATAAGGGCTTGCAAGACACTATTATAGATAATATAGAAGAAGAAAACCACGATTAACATTGAGATAGATGGCTGCGAATCAAAAAAAAAAAGAAAATTTGAAAAACAGGATAATAAGATTGAAAGAATTGAAAATGAAATAGTTACTGATGAAGAAGAAATTCCTAAAAAAAGATTATGCCAAAAGGTGACAATAAAAATATAAGTTAGTTTTTAATATTACAATGACAAATTATCAGTGGTCCACAATCAGACCAATACCAAAAATATATAATGATGGACGCAAAGTGGAAGTTTTGCAAGATTGATGTTGTGGTCTTATGAGAGATTTGATATGGAATGAGACAAAATTACCCTGCGCTTTCAGCTTTAAAAGACTCTGTGTTGGTAATTATGATGCCTATATAAAAATGGAAGGTCATTGCACCGATTGTAAAGCAAAAATAACTGCAATATGTGAAGTAGAGCCAAAAGCAGGTGATCCAGTAATATTTGAAGTTTTTACTACAGATTCCAGAAAGATATCCCATTCAAATAAAGTGAGATTGCAAAAATCTGCCAAATAGAATGTCGAGAAAGAACTTCTGTATCAAAAACCTAAGCAGTGGAGACGAGATCAAGCTAGAAAGTTAATGTTAGATGGTGATCCGGAACCTGCCCACCTATACAAACTTTCTCAACTCCAAAATGCTGTACAAGATGCTAAAAGCAAAAAATTAAGAATCAAAAGAAGAATAGGCTTGTTTGAATTTCTTACTGAAATAAAAAATAATGACTTTTTTATTTCAGTAAGAAATTCAAACAACGACTCCAACACAACACGACTGTCACATTTTGTAAAATTCATTTGTCGAGTACGCACGCAATAAATGTGTCCTGCCTTCAATCAACGACAACTGCTAGCTATTTTACTATACTTAAGAAGAAGAAGGCGGAGAAAGAATTGTTGAATTCACCCTTTACTACGTGAGAGATATGTTGATGAAGCATTTTACGTGCTCTTTGATAAGCTACGGGAGCACGAAAATAAATTTTTCAACTACTTTCGCAAGTCTATAGCAACATTTGATTATATACTTCACCATATAAATGATGCCATATTACGTCAAGACACAAAAATGAGAAAATGCATACCGCCGAAAGAAATGCTTGCTGTTACAATAAGGTAAAACTGTTTTACTAAGATACTTTATTTATCAAAATTTTGGTTCAACAGTGCTTGTATAGATGATGTAGCCACCTGTGTTTCGTCACTTGTAGTAGATGTATTTGGGTGCAAACGTTGATACACTTCTGGGGATTCTACTAAATATGTGTTACTCGTAGATGTAGAAGCAATATTTACAGAAGGTTCAGTGTACTGACGAGGAGTAGCGATATATGAATTTGATGAATACGGAGACTCTGGGGATGCAATATTGTTTGCGTTCACAGACAAATTAGAGTACGTAGACTGTTGTGGAGACGGGTCGATATGGAATGGATTACGATTACGTTTGCAGTATTTATTTACGACTTGCATAATTTCAATTCTGAAATCCATTTTGTCATCAGGAATTTTTTTATCGTTGGCAATAATGACATAAGGAACGCGTGGTCATCGTCAATCAGTTCTTTTTTTGGCAATTTAGAACGAATTGCATTTAAAATTTCTTTGTCAACAGGATTCATTTTTACCCGTTTGTTTGTAGAAGGCTGTATTGACGAAGGGGTATTGTGAGTACTGTGATCGTCTTCAGAGTCATCCTTTCTAGACGAAATACTAGATTCGGTTTCATCTGGTGTCATATTCTTCAACAGAAACTGCAACATTTCGCTGTACATGTACTTTTTCTTGGTGCTTTGTCCAGATGTAGTTTTTAAAGATAGTTTGAAACAATCTCGAATGCGAGTCCAATTGTCATAAATGTGGTTGACTGTAACAAACATTATTTCTGCGGAAATACATTCACGAACCTGCATTATCACTACAGATTGGGAATCACAACAATAAGTGCAATAGTGAAAATTGTTTGTTGTCAAATATGGATTTTGTTTTACGAACAATATCTTGGAGATCCTACTACTGCAAATGGATATCAATTGCAAATGGATTTAAGCTAAAATCGCACTTTCCCAACTGTGTAGGTGCTGTTGATGGAAAACATATCAGAGTACAAAAATTTCCTAACTCGGGTTCCATGAATTTCAACTATAAAGGATACCATTCAATTGTGTTAATGGCCATAGTTGACTCTGATTACCAATTTGTCTATGTGGATATTGGTGCATATGGCAAAGATTGCGGCTCGGCTATCTTTCAGAATACTGATTTCCATGAGCTGCTGATAGCGGACAATTTAAATATTCCAAGCTCACCACCTCTGATGGATCTATGACCAGTAGATTACCGCATGTTCTAGTGGGAGATGAGGCTTTTCAACTAACTATACACGTATTGCGTCCTTATGGTGGTCATAATCTGGACGTAAAAAAAATCAACTATCGTCTTTGCCGTGCACGTAGGCACGTGAATGTGCTTTTGGCATATTGGCTAACAAATGGCGTATATTTCATCGCCCTTTAAATGTCTCAAAACAATTCAGCAAAGAAATCGTGAAAGCTTGTGTAGTTTTGCGCAATATAGTTCGCTAGAAAGGTGGATACAGAAATGAAGATTTATTAACACTTCGAACTCCAGGCGGTGTACAAAACATACAGATCGCCGGGAATACGCGGGGAAATCGTACTGCTAATGATATAAGAAATCAATACGCAGATTACTTTGTAAGCGAGGTAGGTTCGTTGCCCTGGCAAATGGATAAAATATAAGCAGTGGTGGATCCAGGATTCGCTTTGAGAAGGGGGGAGGGCTATACCTGCTTTTTTACCAATTAATTTTCGCTACCATAAATACATCGGTGTGTGTCGATCCGAAGGTTTTCGATCAATGATTATATCGAAATGTAGCCCCCTCCCCCTTCTGGATCCACCACTGAATATCAAGACCAACTACTCTTCAGATCACATCGCAGAACACTCACAATGTAATCTGTCCCAAAATATGAATAAAGTACTTACTAAGTTCCTCCTGTTGTTTTAGTTGTAAATTATTGTATTCCGGTTCTAAAATTATTGCGACATATTCACAAGCATTTCTTCTTATAATTTTTTGTCTGTAATCTTCGTTCGATTTATCCCAAAGACACGGTTTACTTTCTACAGCTTCTATTAACGTTGAAACATCGTATTTAAACTTTTTTTCCTTTATTAATTAGGTTAAATGAAAAAAACAATTTCTAGACACGCGCGAAAATGTTCAAAGAGGGCGCGCACTCGCAAGGAATGTTGTGTTGGTGTCGTGTCGCCTGCAGTGAAAAAGTCCCTGTAGAGTCTGGAAGGCGGCTATGTTGTCACAGTGTTGTCACAACAAAAAAGTTGATCCGATTTAGCGGACAAGACAACATAGCCGAATTGTTGGTTCAAAGTTGTATTGGTGTTGTGTTGTCCCCGTGTGTGAGAAAACGGCGCATACATTAGTATGGCGGTTGGAGTTGTCACAACATTATGTTGTGTTGATGTTGTGTTGGTTTCGCGTAGTGAGAAAACGGCCTAAATGTCTGCAATAAACGATTACATACATTATTATTAAAAAGAAATTTACAATAACAAAATTTTAAATTTATTAATGCAATCAAGTTAACTATTATTTAAATTCCAAAAATTCTTTAATGTTACAAAATATGTGTTAAAGAAGCCAATTGAGAAATGTTTTTTAAAACTTATCGTATGGCAGCCTTATTGTTGTGTAAGGTATGTTATTATGTATTTTTATATACAACTTATAAAAATGATTTATAAATATCGAGGTAACAGGCACGTCATCTAATACAGGTCTACCAGGGATTCTAGAGTTTTGGGAAATATGTCATAGCTTGTTTAAATGTTGGTTGCTTATTGTTTAAATATTGGTGTTGCTTCACGAACTTAGCTATTCGGAAGATGATAGACAAAGCTTGGAATGAATATTTAAATCCTTAAAAAGTGGTTTATAAGATACATCCGGTGCAGCACCACAAATAGCTCTTACATATTATTTTCGGAAGTCTAAACTTTCTTTTTAATGTGCCATGCTGTGATTGCTATTTGTTTTGATGATATTTTGTAAAATTAATTTTTTGCACACTTGACTTATTTATCCCCTTTATTTTAATTTTTGGTCAATTAATAAACCAAGGAACTTTAGAAATTTAGCATTTTCAGACCAAAAACAACTAACAAAGGTGGAAGAAATTTAAAGAACGCAATAAAAGTAAACATTCAATGCAATCACATTTTGCATACTAAGTTAATTTTTGCGAATCTTTGTTTAGAAATAGCTTGAGTTGAGAAATTTAATAAATGTCAGTTATTATATTATGTTGCACTACGAAAACCACCGCTAATTGATGATATAGTTAGAAATATTTTTAACTGAAATGCTATTTTTTACATATTTTGGCCACTTCTAGAGAGGTTTACGCGTAATTGTTACCTCCATGGAGCCTGTATCAATATCTAAGAAACATTACGCCGCGCTAGAATGTTATCTGATAGGATGGGATGGATGCCTCACGAGATATTAAAAATGGACGACAGTCGAATCAGGGGTTTTCCATTCTTATTATTAAATACTAGTTTTGTCAATTGTAAGTATTTGTTGTTCTCTGATATTTTTTATCGATAATATTTCCTACCATGCCTACCATGGAGCGAAATCGGAGAAGAAGAAGTAGTGCTGTTTGCTATTTATTCAGTTGCTAATAAATTTCATTACATTCATAAAACACATAAGTATTTAAATGGACACAAATATTGAGTCGAAATTTTAATGTCCGATCTGATATAACAAAAATTTCTCTCTTAACTTTTTTACTTCTAACGCAATTTAAAATGTTTTAATATTATACAATGATTTCTTATATTTACGCGAACACTACACATTAATTAAAATTATTGTTACGGATTTCATCACGTTTAATTTGTTTGATTTTTAATTTCTGACATTTCCAGCACCCATGGTCACGGGGGACTTAGGTGACTGACGTCCCGATGTCAATGTTAACCCGGAGTACCTTCAGCTTTTTAGTTATTATTTATGGTACGATCTAAGTAGAATGAACTTACTGTGTCTACATGCCTACCTGTTGAAGATTGCATCTCAGTTAGTAACGGCTCCGAGGCACATGCCGAGGCCTAGCAATGATTTACAGCGCTGAGGGCCGCGGGTTCGAATCCCGCACGGGACAAGTATTTGTATGGCTTACAAGTAATTGTACCAAGTCAGGATGTTTGTCCTTGTACAATTTATGTAAGTAAACTGCCTCCACGATACAGGAGAAAATCTTTCTATGGGGGTAACGTTTTGTATATTAAAAAAATATATAACTGGAAAACTAGAGAAAAATAACTTGCCAGCAGAATTTGCAGTACTACTCAGAAATTGCTTTACATCTATTGTGGAAGGAAGAGTTTCACAAGCAAGTAGATGGTGTAGCGATGGGCTCACCTGTATCTTTCATTGTCGCCGATATATTCATGGAAGACTTTGAGGAGAAAGCCCTCTTTACTGAACCTATACCTCCAAGGTTCTACAAGGGGTACGTTGACTTACTTTCACATTCATATCACAGACAAATTAACTGCATTTTTAAGAAACTCCCCAATTAGAAGGTTGTGCAAATTGGTCAATGGACATAGTGACATAGTTGACATTCACGCCGACTCATTTGCCAAAATTAAGAATAATATAATATATAATATAAATAATAATAGTTTTTTTTTCATATACCAATTTTCATTAATAGGTAATTATACTTATTATAATCTTTCTCGGTGCATGTGGTGTTTACCTAAAAGGATTGTTACACTTAGCTACGTAAGTTAGTTCTTAAGCCATTTTGTTGAATACAATCTAATCGAACATTGGTGAACCTTAATAAATAAATAAAAAAAAGAATATCTTAAATCCATATTCTCTAAGATTCAATTTACTATGGAGTTAGAGGAAAATAATTCCTTGGATTTCCTAGATGATAGTCAGCCGAAATCCTAACAACACAATAGGTCACACAGTGTATAGAAAAAAGACCCATACAAAGGGATATTAGAACACGCATTAAAGAACATATAGCTGACGTAAAGCATTAAATGCAAATAATTAACATTAAGCCAATTTACTAATTTAGATGATGTATTATTTACTTCGTCATAATTTAGTAACTGTCGTTTTAATTTGAGAATGAATTCTTCATTAATCGTCATCAGCAAATAATGCTATATCATAGTTACCCCCTACTATGTAAGGTAAGTCAATATATACAAGAAACAGAAATGGGCTGGGAATTGAGCCTGAGGCATGTCCATTTGTTCTATCGGCCAGGAAGAACTCTACTATTAACGACAACTTTTTACGTTTTATTACAAAATTATAAAACATTTCATTTAAGAGCATCACTTCTTACGCGATAGTGTCGAAGTTTCCTGATTAATGTTTCATGGTGAACACAATCGAACACAGTACACGAGCACCCGGGATCGCTCTCTGCTGTGCACCAATGAATTTGTTAATTGCAAGTTTTGAACAATTTTTTTGGTGAACTATGAAATAAAATTTTCCTTTTTATTATTTGACACACTTTTCTTTTCTAAACTTGTATTCAGTAACTGATTGCCAAAACTGAGAGCTAGGGAAGGTGAATATTCTTGCGTAATTCATCAAATACTTGGCCATATAAGAACAAGATTTTTATAAAACTATAAGGAATACTTTTAGAAAAGTTCAAAAATATTTATTCGAGTTCGTATTCATTCATAACAACAAAGCGAGCGGTCTTTGTGTGTTGCGCATGGCTCTGTAGAAATATAAATTTTTAGTAGTAATATTTGAAACTGGGTCAATACACATTTCT